GTAATTATAGGGATTGGTATGGGTGTTTCTGAAACTCCAAGTACAATAAAACCTCTTGTGGCGGCCATCACTTTTCATCAGTTATTTGAAGGTATGGGCCTAGGAGGATGCATCGCCCAGGCAAAGCTCAGAACCAGGGCAGCGGTGATAATGGCAGTTTTCTTCTGCCTGACAACGCCAATTGGGATAGCAACAGGCATTGGAGTAACCAACAGCTACGACGAAGATAGCCCAAAAGCACTCATAGTTGAGGGGATTCTGAACGCAGCCTCCGCTGGTATCTTAATGTATATGGCTCTTGTGGATTTTCTGGCTGCTGATTTTATGAGCCTTAGAATGCAGCGCAATGCAAAGCTTCAATTCTTTGCCGATGTTGCTCTTATTCTTGGAGCTGCTTTGATGTCTTTACTTGCCATATGGGCTTGAAAACTCATACCAATCTTCCCACCCAAAATCACTTCAAGTACTTGTTAGAACATATGACTTCAAGCATTCTAGTAATAGAATAAACAGCGTTCGACATGCAATAAGTCTTCTGTTGTCTAGTCTGCAATTTAGAGAGCTTGATGTGAAGTGTAGAGTTGTTTGATATGAAGTTATGAAGTCTGTGTTTATCTTATATATATACAATATAAATTTGTATATATATATATATATATATATACATTGTACTATACTATTCAAATTGTTGTGTTTACTACTTCGATTTGAGTGTAGCTTCAAAGTTTGCTTGATTGTGAATGTGAATTTTAAATGATCCTTGTTATTTATCATCATGTGAAATACTTGAACAGTTTTTGTTTTTCTTTGTTAATTTGACTGAATAAATTTGTTGATATCATAAAATCTTACCTCGAGCAATCTCCTTCAGGAAACAGAACCAAAATCTGGAATGGAGAAGGAAGATGAGCCAACCAGGATTATCACGAGTCGGGGTCGAGCTAATCAACGATATGATAGGTCGGGGGCATGCACATTGAGGCGAAGAGTGTCATCTGTGATGGAGGTACACAAAATCTATGTATATATTTTAAGCACATGAAACTGAATCCTTTAGTTTCCTCCTCCAGGCGAGTTGGCCAAAACGTTGTCTATAAATTTGCCTAATGAGATAAAGGAGGATCCTCCTTCCTTCACACTTTTCCTACTCTCTTCACTTTTGGCTTTCACTTTCTTCCTTATCTCATTACTTTCTTCTCCCATCAATGTCCTGATCCCACTCTTTATCTCTTCTGCACTCACCAATCTTCTTCACCAAAAGTAATTCTATACGAATTCCTTCACCATCTCAAAGGCGTTGAATTGTTGCTCGGCGTGCATAGGTCATGTCGCCATCGCCACTCAGTGCCATACACTTTCTATAATCGAGTTTCAACCACAATGTGACACGAATCCTCCTATAGAGGGGTGTGCCAATAGCTCCACCTGCAATCTAAATCTCTTAATATGGTTATGAAAACCAAACGGCCTTGTCCTTGTTGGAGGATAGACTAGGAATGAGTTTACTGGGAATGGGATTAGCAAAATTTGGCAAAGTAATGAACTCAGTATCCGAGTTCAGCAACTGTTCCACGTCCTCATTGATATCATTCTGGTCGTAAAGCTCTCTAAGATGAACACTAAAAGCCAAGTTGGCGACAGCCTCTCTGACATAAGTTTTGTAGCTTTCAACCAGCACAATGAAGCCCTTTTTACTTTCTTCTAGAAGGGACGATGAATTGTATAGATTTGCCTATGAAACACATAGAAAATGAGTCGATACATTCAGCAACTTTGAGATCGTAGGGCAGCTTCATGACGAGCACCGTGACAGAGAGACGGGATCTCGAGTGACAAGAACATTGGCCATTTCTACTGTGGATGCAAGGTGACCCATTCCTGGGGCAGGTATGGAAACCATCTCAAACTTCTTCATTTGAGCTGAATTCACAGATTCGCATAGAATTGTTGAGTGCTGATTTTGATCAAGTTTGAACTTTTGGCTTTCTTGTTTGGTTGGTTCTTGAATTGGTGGGCTATGTTCTGATCTTGAATTGGAGTATGTAGGTTATTTACTATTATATTTATATGTTCTTCCCTTGATGTGGGTGTGGGCTATCTAATATTTATGGATATTTATAGAGTACCAATTCAGCTATCCAAAATTCTATTAATATTCATAGTGTCTACTTTATTATTTTTATTAATATTTATATTTATTTGTTCTTCAATTTGTGGGCTATTGGTTATAGAATATTCCATCGATTGATTATTATATTTATTACCCACATTATTATTTTTTATTATTTAAATAATAATAATAATAAATTTTGAAATTAGTCGGTTTACTATCCATTTTTATTATTTTTATATTATATTATTATATTTAAAAAAAAATATAAAATATATTTTGAAAAGTTTCCTTTATCACATTATTTTATTTTTTTATTTTTATTTTTCGTCCACTTGTCCACAATTTTCTAAAATTTTCCCACTTTCCAATTTTATTTTTTCTTCATTATATTTTTTTATTTTATTGGGAGTAAATAGGCAAATCTATACAATTGTGTTGTGTTATTGACAAAATTCAAATATTTGTAACAGCTTGATCATGAGCGATAGAGTTTGTTCTTGAACTCGCAAAAAGAGTAGAATAGCGTTGAGCTATGATCCAGGTGTAAAAAAAAATTATTTATTCAAATTTACAAGTGAGTTTGACAAAACCATTATAGAACTATGATGTTATATTTTAAAATTATTATTGTAATTTAGTACAACATGTATAATTATCGACTAGTATTAATTATCATTTTTAGTTAGTTTTTAAAAAATTAAGAATTAAAAAAGTTAAAATCCTCCACCCTTCATCCCTTCATCTAGAGTGGTCATACGTAGAGTGGTTGGTGTTAGATCACAGGATCAAGTAATAAATAAAAATAATGTGTACCAAATTGAAATTGCAAAATACTAACTAATTAATAAATAAATAAAAGAAAAAAAAACGTTTTTCCAAGTCTTCGCAAACTTGAAGCTAACAAATTTAACATTTCATTGATATTCATAATGAATATTGACCGCTTCTACAATTTTAACATTCAATGAATCAACATTTTTTCTTATATCTAAGAACAATCAACAAAATACTGTAAATACACATAATATTGATGATTTGATGATAACAAACTTACGTTCTCTTATTAACAATTATTAGTATTTTGAATTGTCATAGTGTAAAGTTGGGAATAACAATTCTAACCTTTTAATCACTCAAATCAAATCAAAGCGGTTAGAGTTGAAACGAGATAAAATAGAAAATAACCGACCTAGTGACATAATCGTTGAATTGACATCAAGTTATCACATTTTGAACTTTGAAAGAATAATAATTTGTGAAATTTTGATTAAAAAAAATTAACTATATTACTGTTCCATAATATATTATTTGAAAAAGTTGTTATTCCTGTTATTGTTATTATTATATTTATAATAAATTTTAAAATTTTAAAATTTATGTGTTAGTTATATTATTATTATTATTTATAATAATAATAATAATAAATTGTAAAAGGTTTCTTCTTCTCCTTATTATTATTATTATTATTATTATTATTATTATTATTATTATTATTATTTTATTTTATTTTATATCTCCCCATCTCTTTTAATACAATTTATTTGTCCGGTTTTTTCAACACGACTTTATAATGGTTTGATGTTTAATTTTTTAAAACTTCCATTATTATTCTCTACGTTCAGAGATATTTCATGGTACGGTAAGAAAATAGTTATGACAGATGAACTTGTAAATGAACGAGAGTTACAGTGAATTCTTTACAAAATTCAATACTTGTAACAATTTGATCATCAGCCGCAGAAATAAATGAGTTTACTCTTGAACTCGTAGAAAGAGTGGTGTAGCAGTTTGACTATGATATGAGAAAAAAAGGTAAAATTTTTTTTTTTTTTATTCAAACTAAGCTTATAATGACCCATCCAGAACTATAATGTTATATTTTCTAACATTTTACTATTTAATTTTAAAACTATTATTGTAATTTAGTGTATCTTATGTTTTGAATTGAATTATTTTTTTATATATTTATTGTATTAATTATCATTTTCGAGTTATTTTTTAAAAATTAATAATTTAAAAAAATTAAAATCATATTCATGTGTTCCACCGTAGTTATAATAGTATCCATCTTCTAAAGTGTCGTACATATTTAAAAATGTTAGATCATATGATCAACTAAATTTATTTCAGCCAGATTTATCTATTAAATATGTTCCACTAAGCTTATTTACGCCAGATTTATCTATTAAATAATATATAATTTGTACCAGATAAAAATACTAAATAATAATAATAATAATAACTTCTAAAAACGGGCTTTCCATTTATTCTAATTGTATATATTTTGTCATCCGTTTTAATGGGTGGATTATCGAATAAGCGTGTTATTTTTATTGATATTTATAGTACCTACCATATTTATGGACGATAGCTAACATATTCAACGTTTTATTAATATTCATAATATATATGATATTATAGTATCTACAACTTTAACATTCAATGAATCGACATTTTTATTATAACTTAAAAAAATCAACAAAATACTGTAAATACACTTAATATTAATGTTTGGATAATTACAAATCAACGTTTAATTATTAATAATTATTAGTCTCAATACAACCCATTTTAAATCACTCTCAAGCTAAATTATAGTCGAAAATCATGAAATAGAAAATAACTAACCTACAACCGTGAATTTGTGAAATTTTGATGAAAAAAAAAAGAAAATTAATTATATTACTATTACATATTATTATATTTATAATAAATTTTTTTTTAAGAAAGGAAAATTTATGGGTTTATTATTTTTTATTATTATTACATTACATATTATTTTTCTGCATGATAATAATAAATTTTGAAATTTGTTCCTTTTTATTATTTCTATAATATAATTCTCATTTTATTTTTTATTTTTTACCATTTTTCTTCGCTTCCATTGTAATTCTCTTTATGATAGGTCGGGGAAAATAGTTATAAATGTTATTTACAAAATTTAATAGTCGTAACAATTTGATCCTAGACTGTGAAAATGATTGAGTTTGCTGGTGAGATAGGGACGGTGAAACCACCCATTACATTTTCTAACGGTTTGAGTGGTTGGTAATAGTTTATTATTTTGAATTAACTATTTTTTTATATCATCTTTGAGTTATTTCTTAAAAAAAAAAAAATAATAATAATTAGAAAAATAAAACCTTAATGATTTCATTTTCAAAATTTTGACTAATAATTTTATTTTCCTATAATGTGAGGTTTATAGTAAAATTTCAAATATAAAAATATAGGTTAATAATAAATTGTGAAGGTTAATTAATTAAATTGATAATTTACTCTTTTCTCCAAACCTAGGGAAAATTCGAGGGCAAAGTTGGAAATTAAAAAAAGTACGTCCACATTTGGAAAATCTCGGGTCTTACCGCAGTGCGGGCAGTTTGATGTTTTGATGTCGACATGGTTTGGCGATGGCTAATCCGTTGTCCTTGCAGTCTTTAAAATCCCCAAATATCTGCCTCTTTTCTTCAGTTTCCAAATTGCTCCGATTAGCCATGGCAATGATGAACTTCAAGCTTCAATGTCTTCTTCCAGCTTTTCTCCTTCTGTCTATTCTAGTTACTCCTTCAATCATAGCTGCAGGCTGCCAATGTCCTGAAGAGGAAGAAGAGGGAGGCGTTCGGAACAAAACCCTAGCCCTAAAATACAAAATCATCGCCATAGCTACCATTCTCCTTGCTGGAATCCTTGGGACGTTTGCTCCCTTACTCGGGAAGGTATTTCCGGCGTTGAGTCCTGACAAGGATATTTTCTTTGTCGTTAAAGCCTTCGCGGCTGGTGTCATATTGGCCACCGGATTCATCCATGTCCTTCCTGATGCCTACGAGAATCTGACGTCGCCGAAACTTAAAGAGAATCCTTGGGCGAAGTTTCCGTTCACTGGCTTGGTGTCTATGCTGGCTGCCATTGCCACTTTGATGGTGGACGCCGGTGCCAGTTCTTATTACACTAGGCTTCATCTGCATAAGGCTCAATCTGAGTCGAATGCCGATGAAGAGACGCATCCTGTAGGTCACCACGCTCATGCCTCTGCCGAATTCGTCGGATCATCCACGGAGATTCTCCGGCATCGGGTGATCTCTCAGGTATTAGAGCTTGGAGTTGTGGTACACTCTGTAATTATAGGGATTGGTATGGGTGTTTCTGAGACTCCAAGTACAATAAAACCTCTTGTGGCGGCCATCACTTTTCATCAGTTATTTGAAGGTATGGGCCTAGGAGGATGCATCGCCCAGGCAAAGCTCAGAACCAGGGCAGCGGTGATAATGGCAGTTTTCTTCTGCCTGACAACGCCAATTGGGATAGCAATAGGCATCGGAGTAACCAACAGCTACGACGAAGATAGCCCAACAGCACTGATAGTAGAGGGGATTTTGAATGCAGCCTCCTCTGGTATCTTAATTTATATGGCTCTTGTGGATCTTCTGGCTGCTGATTTTATGAGCCTTAGAATGCAGACCAATACAAAGCTTCAATTCATTGCTAATATTTTTCTCGTTCTTGGAGCTGCTTCGATGTCTTTACTTGCCATATGGGCTTGAAACAGGACACGAAGAAGGAGAGAGCGTTTGAGTAGAGGATAAATCTTGTGTTGTTTAGTCTACATTTAGAGAGCTTGATGTGAAGTGTAGAGTTGTGTGCTATCAAGTTATAAATTCAATTCTTATTTTTACTAATTTTCTTATACTATCTCATGATTGCAGCATTCATAAATGGAACAGCTTCAAAGTTTGCTTCTGTGTTTGATTTTAAATGTGAATTTCAAATGATTTTTGTTATTTATCATCCTATGAAATATCTTAAATGGTTTTTGTTTTTGTTGGTTAATTTGGGTGAATAATGTTGTTGATATCATAAAATCTTACCTCCACCAATCTCTTTCAGAAAAACAGAATCAAAATCTGGAATGGAGAAGGAAGACGAGCTAACCGGGAGTATCACTAGTTGGGGTCGAGCTGATCGAGGATATCATAGGTCGGGGGCATGCACGTTGAGGCAAAAAGAGTCATATGTGACACGAATCCTCCTCTAGAGGGGTTTGTCAATAGCTCCACCGACTATCTAAATCTCTTAATATGGTTATGAAACCAAACGGCCTTGTCCTTGTTGGAGAAGAAACTAGGAGTGAGTTTGCTGGGAATGGATTAACAAAATTTGGCTATCATTCTTGTCGTAAAGAAAAGTTAGATCTAAAAAGCAAATCAATGTGTCCAAATCATCAGCAAATACTTGTTTAGAGTTAATTTGGCAGAGATTTTCACTATTCACAAGATAAAAGTGTTATTGACTTACACTTTCTCCTCCAAGACAAGTCAGAGTGTTAGTTCTTTGACTTACACTCTCCAACTTAAGCAGAGAGTATTGGAATTAGTCAATAGTATATTTGATATATTTTAGGTTATCTTCATGTTTGATTAGGAGTATATTTTATCTTATTTATAGGATTTAGTCGATAGCTTGTATCCTATTTAAAACATTAATCAAAAATCAACTTTAGATTCGATTGCTACTTTCAATCCCACCTATATATTTCTCAGACTTTCTATCCCACACTTCGGTTTCTCATTCTTAACCTCACATCACATTAGAGCATCATTCTTAATAGTTCCAAGCCTCCACCGGAATGATTTGAAAGATCCAAACCAAAAAATAGTTAACATTCCGTTCATATTTATAGAGTCTACGAGGTTTACTTTAACAGTCCATTGATATATAGTGTCTACCGCTAACAACTTTAACATTCCATTAATATTTATAGTGTCTAGGATTAACAACTTTAACATTCTATTGATATTTGTAGTGTCTACGACTAACAACATTAACATTTCATTAATATTTATAGTGTCTGAGACTAACAAACTTTAATAATTAACATATAACAGGTTTATTACTAAATATCTAACGGGTTTATTTTTAATATCTAACGGCCAATGGGTTTAGTTTTAGTTTTCCTATTTTTAATAAATCTTAAACTTAATTAAAATTTTAATCATAATCGGTTAAACAGTTATAGTAATTTTATTTTTCAATTATGTGAAGTTTATTATTAAACATAAAATTTAAAATTCAAAATTTACTCTTTTATCCCTTCTATCTTCTCTTCTTTCCAAATATAGGGACTAAAATGCAAGAAACCTCGAGGGCAAAGTTGGAAAGTAAGAAAATTACAGAACATCCACATTCGAAAAATTTGAAGTCTAATGAGTCTTTAAAATCCCAAAATGTCTGCGTTTCTTTCCCTCAGTTTCGAAGTTGCTTCGATTCACCATGGCAATGGCGGACTTCAAGCTTCACCGTCTTCTTCCCGCTTTTCTCTCTCTGTTTATTCTACTTATTCCTTCAGTGATTGCTGCAGGCTGCCAATGTCCTGAAGAAGAAGAAGACGGAGGCGTTCGAAACAAAACCCTAGCCCTCAAATACAAAATCGTCGCCATAGCTACGATTCTTCTCGCTGGAATCCTTGGGGTGTTTATTCCCTTACTCGGGAGGGCATTGCCGGCGTTGAGTCCGGACAAGGATATTTTCTTTGTCGTTAAAGCCTTCGCGGCTGGTGTCATATTGGCCACCGGATTCATCCACGTCCTTCCTGATGCCTACGAGAATCTGACGTCGCCGAAACTGAAACAGAATCCTTGGGCGAAGTTTCCGTTCACCGGCTTGGTGTCTATGGTGGCTGCCATTGCCACTTTGATGGTGGACGCCGGTGCCAGTTCTTATTTCACTCGACTGAATCTGAATAAGGCTCAGCCTGAGACGGACGGCGATGGAGAGATGCATCCTGCATGTCACGCTCATGGCTCTGCCAAAGTCGTCGGATCATCCACGGAGATTCTCCGGCATCGGGTGATCTCTCAGGTACTAGAGCTTGGAATTGTGGTACATTCGGTAATTATAGGGATTGGTATGGGTGTTTCTGAAACTCCAAGTACAATAAAACCTCTTGTGGCGGCCATCACTTTTCATCAGTTATTTGAAGGTATGGGCCTAGGAGGATGCATCGCCCAGGCAAAGCTCAGAACCAGGGCAGCGGTGATAATGGCAGTTTTCTTCTGCCTGACAACGCCAATTGGGATAGCAATAGGCATTGGAGTAACCAACAGCTACGACGAAGATAGCCCAAAAGCACTCATAGTTGAGGGGATTCTGAATGCAGCCTCCGCTGGTATCTTAATCTATATGGCTCTTGTGGACTTTCTGGCTGCTGATTTTATGAGCCTTAGAATGCAGAGCAATGCAAAGCTTCAATTCTTTGCCAATGTTGCTCTTATTCTTGGAGCTGCTTTGATGTCTTTACTTGCCATATGGGCTTGAAACTCGTACCAATCTTCCCACCCAAAATCACTTCAAGTACTTGTTAGAACATACGACTTCAAGCATTCTAGTATACAATAAACAGCGTTCGACACGCTATAAGCCTCGTGTTATTTAGTCTACAATTTAGAGAGCTTGATGTGCAGTGTAGAGTTGTTCGATATGAAGTTATAAAGTCCATGTTTATCTTATATATATACAATATAAAAATGTGTATATATAAGCTCTTTTAAGACCTCGAAAAAAAGGTTTTTTTGTCTTATTTATGTATTTATATTTAGCATTTTGTCATCCCAATTTTGGGAACTTAAAACCTGGCTCAGATAATAAGCTTACTTGATCACATGATCACATTGTTCGACACATGGAACAATCTCGAGTTTGCCATTTAAAAAATTAAAAAAAAAAAAAAAAAAAAAGAGAAATATATAATGTCAAACCATATTCATCACACTCTTACATTTGACCTACAAACAAGAGAGCCAAAAGTTCAAACTTAGAGTTACAATGATTCAACAAAACCAAAAAAGGCCTTTCATGTCAACCTGTTTTACAATCTTCCAGGGAAAATTTTGATCCATCATATGCACAAAAAACATATATCTTAAGGGGTCATGTAAAAGAAATGGTTCCTGAGCTTACCACCAACTGCCCTTTTTACTTTTTTTTGGGCTTTGGCAACTACTAGCAGTTATATTTTACCATTATATTTTACCATCTGCAACTAATCAATATAGCAGGCAAAGCAATATACTGTAGAATCCGCGAACAAGTACCAAACTATGCATGCGACCACACGCATTCAAACTCGACGTAAAGCCGTGTTTACCTTTTCTTTTCATCTTTCTCAAATTCTTCATAGAAGTCATCGTCGTCATCGTCGTAATATTCTTCATTGTCTTCATCGTCGTAATAATATTCTTCATCAAGGTCTGAGTAGTCACTGTCCTTGCCATTTGATAGATATTTTTGCTGCTGCGCCCCCATCAACCGCTCTTGAATTCGATCTCGGATGGCCGTGCCCTAAACCGACCGATGATTGTTCAGATACAATCGTGCACAACCCATTAATAATTCTAGTTCAAGATTCACCAAAACTTGTGTTTGTGTGGTTTCGTCGTGTAGTTCTTATCTATGTCAAATTTAACTGCGTATATGCAAAAGGGGTAATTTGTGCGTTAACTTACCATTTTATGACAACCTTCTTCAAACATCTCAAGAAATCCAGCGACCCAACGATCAGCATTTTCCACCCACTCATTCCTGTGCATACCGGCAGTTTTTGCAACTGTTTGAATCTGCAAAATCAAGAACAAGTATTCTCAACAATAAAAGAATATAAAGACCTTGCTAGCACTTAAGAACAAAAAGTTTTTTCCACTTCAATGCGCAGATGAGGATCCTAGCATATGAGACATGATCTAGTAAGTGAAGAACAATGATTAGAAATATAAAGCACGGACAATAACAAATTGTATGGTGCAGATTTTCTGTTGCAACATCGTTTTATCAGGAATCTTCCATTTTAAACTTAGATGCAGTGCTCATACTGCACCCAACAAAAGCTCCCCAGACTGAGCGAGAAGGAACAGCAAATTGCAAAATATGCAACAAAAACTTCAACTTAGAAAATGCATGGAAACCCCATTAAATGGAAGAACTACATGCTGCATGAAATGTAAATCTAATATATTTCAAAAAAAAAACAAAAGGTAATCAACTTGTTATATTAGGTGAGGTACATATCAACTACCCAGTTTTTCCAAAATCCTGATATCAAAAGTCAGGTATCCATATACACTCTGTTACTTAAATACTAGGTTGCATACTTCTACATAAGTATCTTTAGGCATGCCTATAGAATTTTTTAAATGCTTCAAAAAAGAACCACAAAAGAAGGATAGTTATTAAAAGAAATATTATAGTTATTTTCAGCTAACTCGGAATTAGAATATATCTAAAGCAAAATTTTAAAAAGTAGGGTAATAATACCTGCATGGAAGTAAGCTGACACAAAATTAAACTTTCTTACCATAAATTCAACTCCATGAATGTATGATTACAATCCTCTTCTAAAAGACCATATCATAAAAGAAATGTTTATATATGGAACCAATCATGTTTTAAGAATAAGTCCCCAAGAAATAAAAAACCAAAGGAATATCTACTTGCAAGTCATTTTTCCCTGTTTTGCTTTGATGTCCTAATTCAAGTAAGCATATCTTCTAAATGATAGATAGCTCAATAATAAGGTTAAAGTACAAGCCTAATCTAAAACTTTCAAGTTTTTATATTTTGTGTTTAATAGATCCTTTTAAACTTTCAATATAGTGTCTAATAAATGTTTGAACTTTCAATTGTGTCTAATAGGTCATTAACCTATTCGACATTTAAAATTCATAGATCTATTATAAACAAAATTGAAAGTTTAAGGTTCTATTAGATGTTCAATTTAATATCGTGACATGACCTTTTAGGCACAACCAAAAGTTCGTGGATTTATTAGACACATCTAAAATTTAAAGACTTATTAGACACAAAATTATCAGAATAAGAACTTGTCATATGCTTTTTAAAGTGGAAGGATTGACAAAAACCAAAATGTAGCAACTGACACAGTGAACAGCGAGCAAAGCTCTGAGGAGATAAGAAATAAATTGAGAAAATTTACGATATTGTACTTTTTAGGCTCAAGGTAAGGCACGGACTATATACAGGAAGGTACATAGTAATATTTTCAGCAAATGAATATCTTTTTTATATGAATAAGTTTCTACTTCATCAAATGCAAGTAGAAGGTTGATATATCAGTAAGAGAAAAAAAAATCTAATTATAAAGAAAAAGCTTAGAGTTTGTAGGCGAGGACATATAGATATATGTTCCAAATAATAATGATAACCATAATAACCTTAAGAACCTCACTAAGATAGCACATGTGAGTGGGATGCCTTGCGAAGTGCCAGGCAAGGTGCCAAAAGTATAACCAAGAGTACACAATGCACACCCCTAATTATATTTAAAACAAAATTCTATAAATATGAAGTTTATCCAATAAAGACGTGATACACAGACTAAAATATAACAGATTCGGCTTTCTCCAATGTGAAGATCTCTACCTTTTTTCCAGATACTTATGTTTAATTAACAGGTCGTAACAGAAATACACCAAACATAAGATAAGACACACCTTTAGAAAAAAGCTAGTAAAAATGTTTCAAGAATAAAATTGGCCTGCTATCTCATGAAGATATTGCAACACCTAAGGTGCACATACAACTATCGCATCATTTAAAATAAGAGGAATGATTAAGCGGACAATATAATCTCTGGCTTCCTACAACTGCATCCATAGGCCTATTATTAAAGTATGAGATATGAGTACCTTTTCTCCCACTTTTTCTTGATGTTCCTTAACTTTCTCCTGTAATTTCTTCAATCTCATATTTACTCTAAGCCTCTTTTCCTGATAATTGTAGACAACAACATCTAGTTGCTTGTTAAGCAGCAAAATCAATATAATATACCCTGGATGACTAGCAAGATAAGTATTCTCCGAGTAAAATAGGTAAATCTAGATGCATATCATGCCTTCACAAAGCTGACTCCAAGCTCTTTCCTTGAATAACCACGGTCTAAATTGCGCAGCACATACTGATTATAATCTTTAACAATCCTCATGATAATGTCTGAAGTTGATATTCCATCTGTCCTTTTAGTTTCCTTGAACTTTCCAATCTTTTTAACCTACAAAGGAAAAGTTCCCATCTATGAAACCATATGCGGTGGCTGATACCTAAGCACCAATCTGATCAAATGGATATACCCATCTTCTGAACTTACAAATTCATAAACATCCTTCCCGGCTCCACTAGCATCGGCATAACTATATAAAGAAAGAAAAAATACAGTTATGAGATGACATAGGCCATTTATAAGTTCAATACGAACGGATAGATACACAATGAACAAACAAAATGGAGCTCTTCCTCGTACACTTTACCATCCAGTATATATCAATTAGATGGGTAGAGGCACAGATAAATGGGAAAAAGGAAATAAACCCCAATGCTCATAGTTACTTAACCCTCGTGATTCACTTAGATAAGTATATAATATCCTTACGGAAGAGAATCATGGGCCACATAGTCAATGTTGTGCTTGTCAATAAATTCTTGAGAGATCACCCAAGGTGCATCAGGAATCACTTCATCCACCCACCTATGGAAAAGGAAGGGGGAAAAAAGGAGCAAATTAAATAAAACCATGTTCAAGAATCCATTCGACTATTACTGAATCCACGTTCATAATTAAATCTATAAGTACGTGCAGATATTGATGCATTGCGAATTCAATTTTAATCCATCATAGCTACAGTTGCATTGAAAGGATAACTAGCGGTCGTATGAATCAAATGCACAGCAACTTATTGCAAAATTTCAAGATCCAAAACTCAGGTAATAGCAAGAAGTCATACTTGCAATGGCGAAGAGATTCATATCGTTCAGCTTCAGTCATAACAGTTTTCCCTTTAAACTTGTGGGTAGTCTCATCATTACAACATCCAACTAGCAGATAGGTATTCGGGAACCTGAAATTACAAGAAAAAGTAATATGCACAGCTCGTCAATTAAACAAATTATTTATCCTAAAGATAATGCAAAAGAACAGGCTGAACACTAAAAAGTGATGCAATAGAAGATCACGGACAAGTAACAGCAAGTGAACAAACCTTTAAGTATGAACAATCACGCAGTCTAATGCATCAGAAGAAAACTCGTAATGAGGAGAAAACAACAAATTCTACGGACCGGGAAACACAGAGGAACTAAATTGCTTAAATAGAAGAGAATCAGAAACCGTAAAAACCACCCCGTAAACGATCAGTCAAAAATGCACCACAGCATGAATAAACAAACAAAAGGAAGAGAAATTAAGCTGAAGGAAAAGAAAATGGAAGATGAAACGGACGATTTCTTGGCTTGCTCAAGAGAGCGAGCGTGACCAAAATGGAAGAGATCGTAGATCCCATCAGCGTAGACACGAACTGGACGGTCCGTTGGCTGATCGGAATTCGAATGGTTTTGAGAACCGTTGATAGTGGTGGTGGTGGTGGTGGTGGTGATAGTGGTAGTGGTGGTGGTGGATTCGCCGGGATTCACCTCCGCCATTCGAATTGCCTTACAATCTCCTCCTCTTCTCTGTTGCTCTCATTCCTCTCCTTCGGTCAGACTTTTGTTGTGCGTTTCTTCTCCCTTATTTTTTTTTATTTTATTTTTTCTTTATTTTTCGACTCTCCTTATATGGCGTGCACGTCCGACAACGCGACATTTTCGCTCCCTATTTCTTTGTTTTCTTTTTATATTTTTCCAATTTTTATCTCACAATAAATTTTTTTTCTTTTTTTTTTCACTTTATTTTTTATCCTTAAAAAAAATTTTAATTTTGGTCGGTTACGTATTGCCATCAACCTCACGATTTTGAAAGCGTCTATTAGTAAAAGGTTTCCACGCCCTTATAAGAAATGTTTCGTTCCCCTCTCCAACCGGTGTGACATTTAACAATCCACTTTCTTGGGTGTCAGCAGCGTCCTTGCACACCGCTCAGTTCCACACCCTTATAATGAATGTTTATTTTCCCTCTCAAATCGACGTAACATCTAATAATCCACCTCCCATGGGAGCCAGCGTCCTTATTGGCATATTGATCAATGACTGGCTCTAATACCATTTGTACAGTAAGACTACAGCTAACATCACAATTTTAAAACACGTTCCCTAAGGAAATATTTCTATACCCTCATGAAAAATGTTTTTGTCTTTCTCTCTAACCGAGGTGGGATTTCACAATCCACCCCCCTCGGAGTCTAGCGTCCTTGTTTGAATTACCTCAAAACTCGACCAATTCGATTTATCCAACTCAAATTATACGGCATCCTATTGGGTTGACATTTCTTTGTCGGTCAACCCAACCAACCAACCCAAAACTAGAGTTACAACTTAACCGTACTCTATCCTACTTCTAAAATTATTATAAAAATTAAAAATAATTAACGTTTGTAATCGACCTTAATATATTATTTATTTATCTAAAATATAATTGATTTTAAAAAATAAGCGATTAAATTTAAACTTTTAAAATTTGGTCGACTACTACTTATTAAAATGCCTAATTTATTAAATAGTTATTACTTTTTTTTTAACATATTTCAATTTCATTAAATTAATAGTCGACTCGTAATAATAAAATCACTTTGGAAAAATTCACTAATTTGAATAAAAAATCTTGTTGTAGTGTAGAAGATTCATAAAACTCATAGTAAAAACATGTTATTTATTCATTAAATGTAATTAATACTAATAACTTATTTAAAAAATTGTCTTAAATATATTTTAACACAAAATTAAAAATTAAACGTCTATATTTATAATTGAATATATATATATATATAATATTAATTAAAAATAATAATAAGCGAAGGTGGGGGCGTCAAGGAGTGGAATATTATAAAAAATAATAATAAAATAATAATAACGTTTATAATTAACAAGTAGTTCCAAACACGGCATTCATACGGTCACGTGGCGATTAGAGAGAGTACACACGTGGTACTCAAAAAGAAAAAAAGAAAAGAGTTCACACGTGTGAAGAAGAGACGTGCCGCTCGCACCAACTTTCCGACACACACACACTATGGTCAAAATATATAAAAAAAAATCTCATCGACGACTTCGGTGCCTAACTTCTTTTACGCTCCACTCCAAAAGAAGAAAAAAAAAAAAAAAAAAGCTACCGTCGAATCCCGCCGCCGTGCCGGAGTTACGCCGGGCGATGATTCTGAGCCGTCAGAGAGGACCCATCATACAGCCCCATGTAATCAACATTACTATTATTGTTACTCCTCGACCCCTCGAGAAAAAACCCCTCACCGGCGGAGAACATGAAGGGCGGTTGGTGCGGCGGAGGGTGGTTTTGGAAGGGGAAGAGATACGGCGGTTGTTGGAGATGGTAGGCAGCGGGAGTTGGGTCGAATGCGGCGAAATTGTGGAGGGTATGGGAAGGGCCGCCAGTGAATTGCTGGACCATGGCTCGGAAATTGGCAGCGTCAGTGTTGAGTAAAGTGGTTGGGGTTCGTCTAGAGGCTCTGGAGCGCTTCCGGACGGGCTTGGCGACACGGACCCCATCGGATGAGGGCGGCGGGGTGGTGGCGGCGGGGACAAGGGTGGAATCGGGGAGCCATCGATGAGCCATTTGGGAGGAAGTGGAGGAGTTAGAAGAGTGTGGGTTGGAGGAGATAAATAAGAGGAGGGATGTCACGTGAGAGTGGCACGTGGGGCTGCTGGTGTTTGGAGGATTGTTTCAAAGCTTCTGGAGAGGAATGGAATAACTTTGGTGTGGACTGTGGACTGCTGCGTGCTTCCTGGAAACCTGCTGCCATTCAATGCTCCTTTTAACGTCATATTCAACCTTCTCAAGTGCTAATTGTCTTTGTCTTTCTCGGGATAGCGATTGTGTGACACTTGTTTTAATCAAGCGAACAAGTCAACCGTGAGAGATTCGAACATCGAAAAGGTTTAACAAATGTAAAAAGGGTAAAGGCGGACTAGGATAAAAGCATGTAAAAAGGGTTTGAACAGGGCATGGACAAACAAGATTGGGACATTTGACTTGCGGTCTTGAACAAACATGACCGTGACACTGATTTAGATAAGACTCGAGCAACGAAAATACCGTTCATAACCCAGCTCGACTCAACTTCAAAGGGGTAGGGTTGTCTTTTTTCAAAAATAATATTTATTTACAATATTAAAAACTAAATCTAGTGACTACACATTAAATAAAAAATAAAAAGGAAAACCAAATTTAATCTAACCCATGTCAGAAAATATATATATATTTTAACCTGATTCATATGAACACTAATTTTAGTCGCTATTAGTTAGTTTATTTATTTATTTTTTTTTTTAAATTGTTTTTGTCTTTATTAGCATTTTTTTTAATAAATTTTTAAAAAGATATTTCCATAATGTTTTTGTTACTATTTAATTAATTTTGGTAAATTTATTATAATATTATTATTTGATTAATTTTGGTAAATTTGTTATAATATTATTATTTAGTAATTTTTTTATAAAATAAAAATAAATTATTTTAAAAAAGATTTATATATTTTTAAAATAAATTATTCTTTAAAGTTACATCTAATCACACACACACTTTATCAAATGGCTTTCTAAAGTAGAAAATAATTTCACTAAAATTCAAAGTAAATTCAAAATTCACTTTGAATAATAAGGAAGAAAAGTAGACAAATTTTTCAAACTTCTGTATTTAATTTGTCCAAAATTATTCCCTCAACAGCAGATCGAAGATCTCTTAAATTGTCACCCGCTATACGTCGTCGAAGTCAAAAATATTGAAATACTGTACTGGTATGGTATGAACATCTTGACGAATGTACCTGTTGATTTTTCTATCAATTTTAAATAAAAAAATATTTGATCGATTCAATTTTAGTATAACCATTTTAGTGCATAAAAAAATATGGTACGTACGGTTTAGATTGGGTTGAGTTGAGAAACTTTTTTGGACCAACGGGATATATAAGGTTGGTTGAGCTAGTGATTCGAGCAACTCAAATAGAGTTCATAACCCCACTCAACCCTCTATTCTTGGGTTGGGTCGGATTGTCGGGTTATTTTTTTAATTTATTTTTAAAAGTCTTACTTATCCCTAATACATATCATATCAATAACGAAAATCTTATAAAACTCAAATATCAAACATTCACAAGTAAATAACTATTACTAACATTGGTTACAAATGTCAAATATTTTTTTTTATCTTCATAATAATTTTAAAAGTAAGATAGTGTTGGATTGTAATCCTATTTCCCGGTTGGTCGGTTTGACCCAATTAAAAAAATAGCTACTTGCTAACGGACGTGAATGTTCAATTTTAAAAAAAATTAAATCCAACTTAGGCTTGAAAAAAAATATAACCCAACCCAACCTCGATGGTTTGAGTTGGTTGGATTCACACGTCAATTAAACACCCTTACCAAGATGTCAAACAGTTAAATTTTGGTATTCATTAAAAAGTTAAAACGTTATTAAACACTAAATTTCGACATTTAATAAACGTAGATCTAAAAAATGGAGAGACTAAATTGGTACTTTAGAATCAAACGGAACCAAACGAAATCAGATATAACCTTAATATATGGGAGGCAATTGACATTAAAAATTTGACCGTGACACTATGCATGTGGACGCTTTCTCCATCCATCTTCTTCACCGCTTAGATAAGACTAAAAAGAAGAAAACAAAAAAGAATCCAATAAAAACAAAAAATAAAAAATAATACTAAAAAATTTTATAAGATATTGATGTTATTTTTGAAAGTCGAACAATTTCATCCGTATGTTAAAAAATTTTAAAAATTAAAACATCTATTTATAGTCTGAATAAATAAAAATTATGTAATAATAAAAGTGTAAAATTTAAAAATTTAGAGATGATTTAAAATTTTTTTTTTTTAAAAAACATGGCATTAAATGAAGGGACATGGGATGCTATTGGGTGGAAATTTCCACAAAATTAGGCTTCATTTTTTCTTTGACCAAAACCGCTGCGGTTCTACAAAACCGGTTCTGCAAAACCACACAACCCCTCTGGTTTTCACACCCAATCACTTCTTAATCACATCTCTCACCACTAATCACCCAATTAATGCATAGCTAAGTGAGATTAGTGGTTTAATCATTTTAATTACTTTTAAAAATTAAAACAATATAAACCCAAATCTTAAAATGTTAAGAAAATTATTATTTTAAAAAAATGGTCAAGAAATTTGACGGAACAAGCGTAGTAGAAGACAAACAAATGATTATAGAACGATTCGGGCATCGGTTCTCCATTCCCGTAAAATTCTTCGATTTTTTTTTTTGTTGGGACCCGACCCTTTATGAGATTTTTTTTTCCATATTTTTTATATATATATATATTTTAAATAATAGTTTCCCGAACAAATTTCATTTTTCAATATAATTTTTATTAAAAACCAATAAAATTAGATGTGGAGATAAAGAGTGATTTGTTGTTGATAAATGGATTCAAACTTTCTACCTTTGGTTAGACAAATTAGTCTCACTTAGGGAAGAAGTATAGTTTAATTTGGATAATTTGTTCGAGACCGCTAGGTATTAGGTGACTTTTCGAGTTCAATCTAGGAACGGGTCCATTGCTTCGTCGGGTACGTGACATCATGTTGATGTCTCATGATGTTTGTTTTATCAAAGTTTACGATTTTACCCTTACCCTTTTATTTTAAATTGATTATACGTGTCGAGAATATAGTAACTTGATATGGATAGATATAAGTATTCGTAACAAAATTGAACATGAATGTCGATAAAATACTCTTATCATGAGCATTGAGGTAGATTTCTCATAAAATGCTAACCTTACCGTTTTGGTCTATTACGTATCGTTGTCAGCTTTACGGTTTTAAAACGCGTATGCTAGAGAGAGGTTTCCACCCCTTACAAGAAATGTTTTGTTCCCCTCTCCAACCGATGTGGAATCTCACAATCCATCCTCCTTGGGGGTCCAGCGTTCTCACTGACACGCTGCCCGATTTATAACAGTCCAATCCCACCGCTAGCTAATATTGTACGTTTTGGCTTGTTACGTATCGCCGTCAGCCTCATAGTTTTAAAGTGTATCTGCTAGGGAGAGGTTTCCACCACTTATAAGAAATGTTTTGTTCCCCTCTCCATCCGATGTGGAGTCTTATAATCCATCCTCCTTGGGGGCCAGTGAGCTGCCACACCGCTCAATGTTTGGCTCTGATACCATTTATAACAGTCCAATCCCACATCTAGCTAATATTGTCCATTTTAGTCCATTAAGTATCACGATCAGCCTCATAGTTTTAAAAAGGCTAGGGAGAGGTTTCCACCTCTTATAATTATAAGAAATGCTTCATTCACTTCTCAAACCGACCTAGAATCTCACAATCCATCCTCCTTGGGGTCCCAATGTCCTTGCTGGCACACCGGCCGGTGTTTAGCTCTGATACCATTTATAACAATCCATCTCACCGCTATCTAATATTATCCGTTTTGGCCCGTTACGTATAGCCGTCAGGCATCGTTCCCCTCTCCAATCGATGTGGGATCTCACATTGAGTAGCATCTAACCTTTCTTGACCACTCGACGGCAGCTCAAGGTCGAGTCTCATATATTACTCAAGTGCGTAGAAATTCACTCACAAATCCATGATTATAAAAGAAAATTGTTATTACCATCTTTGGAGACAACGTTTCCATAGCCAAAACAAGCAGCATCTGTTGTGGGAGCACTAACCCACTGCTACCATTAGCGCCACCGCCCTGCTCCTCTCATCGTCATCACCGCTAAGCCATCGCCATCGCCATCGCCATTACCATTACCATCATGGAAGGATTCTTCTTTGTTCTAAGAACGTTCCTTCCGCTCCTAAAATTCCGAAAACTTGGCTGCGACATTTTATCAAACACCTACCGTGCATCCCTTTTACCTTTAAACATAAAATTTGATCTCTCATAAACCCATCTCTGAATCTTTCCTTCCCACTCCCCAAACCGCCCTGCTCCTCTCATCGTCACCGTTAAGCCATTGCCATTGCCATTACCATCATGGAAGGATTCTTCTTTGTTCTAAGAACGTTCCTTCCGCTCCTAAAATTCCGAAAACTTGGTTGCGACATTTTATCAAACACCTACGGTGCATCCACTTTACCTTCAAAGATAAACTTTAATCTCTCTCATAAACCCATTTCTGAATCTTTCCTTCCCTTTGATCGATTCACTGTTCTTATTCCAACAAGAATCCCACGACATCAAATTACGGGAAAATGAAAAATGCCGCTTTCATTGGGTCTGAACCATTTGTTGTTCCCTTGCGCCGACCCACTAATCATTTGGGTCTGAACCAAATCCCAACTTTGACGCGAGCCCATGAATCCCCATGTGGGTTCCTTTTAACTTATCCAAACCAATCCACGAATCCGGGCTAACCTCCGGTCTTGAGCTCGAGCCCTTGATCAAAGAGGCCATAATTGAAGTCGGTACCAGAAAGCACAAAAGAAAAGAAAAGAACGAGTTTAAAGACGAGGACTTAGAATCTAGATTCAACAACTGATATAGCACCACCCGAGAGGTCAAGTAGCTATAGAGAAGTAGCCACGAGTATGTATATTTACCAACTCAACAAAGCATTTAGGTCCCATTTTCATTTTCTTTTAGTCAATTAACGACCCTTTAAAACTA